TTGTAGCCGCGCCGGAGGACATCTCCGAGGAAGAGAGTTCTTCGCCACATCATGTTGTTGAATGCATCAGACATGTAGAAGACCTCCTTGGAGAAGTCGACGCCCTCGGTTACGAGATTGTAACAGTGAAGCTCCAGGGTGCGGCATCTGTTGAAGGCCCTCTGGTCGACGGCGACGAAGAGAAGATGGTCGACCAACAATTCGGTGTCCTCCCCTTCTCCAAGACTTTGCAAGAACAGATCCAGCATCGCGTTCTGTTCCACGTACGCCTTGTTCAGTATCGCGATGATCAAAGTCCTGTTCTCCATGGCGACCGCCTCTAGTGCTGCTTCCAGTTCATCTTTTGGGGTAATCTCCGTCTGACCACACGCAAAATACAAGCTAGTTTCTGAGCTCTCTGTGCGTACTGTTCAGCATATACGGTGTGTGGATTAACTTACAGTATTTGCACCATGTTGCAAGCGGAAGAAAGCTGTGGGTACTCCAAGCGGCCATAAGCAGGCATAGATGACGACCAAAACGAGAAGAGGGGCGACGACGATGGACGCGGTGGCACGGTAGGCGATGGCGCCGGAGAAGCTCATGGCAATGATCGAGGTGCAGGGGAGATCCGAGAACTCCACTCTGATCTGTAAAGATCAGCTGCTCAGACTCCTCCTACGTCGACACGCGGCTTATGGTTAAGAAGCTGTAACCACCACCGAGTCCTTTCATTCAATTGTTTAGGTATAAGTTGGCGCCGGTGATCGCGAAAGGCAGTAATTCCAGACACAGACCACAAAGGTGACGTGCCTCCTTCGGTTTCTTTCCATCGAGATCTGAGGCATTTGACGTTCCAAAAACTGGGGGCGGACAGATCGACGAAGGCTTATGGACTGTTGGTATCACATAAGCATCTCCGGTGTTTACTTTTGTGGAAGACTTTCCTGTCTTCCACAAAAGTAGGGTTGGGAGTTGTGGATTTTTTACCATTTTTACTGCTTTTCATGTGCAAAAGCAATAGTAACTGTCTATATGACTAGTTTGGCAAGTTCCATAGTTCCACATCGGAAAAATCAGACTTGTTGTCTCGTCTTGAAACTATAAATAAGGGTCTGGACTTTGAAGTCAGATGCACCACAAGAGGTACTATAAGTGGTACCACAAGAAAAACCTAAGTGTTTGCTTTGGTTTAAGTCCATACTCAGTTAAATAGTTTGGACTTATAGTTTGGTTTTTCTTGTTTAGTATTTTCGGGTGTTTTATGGCCTAGGAACATCTTCCTAAGGCATTTGTAATTGTCCCTCTTTTGCAGTAGTAATTTGCTCCTCTTTGGATATAGGTCAAAGTCAATTGATCGAACCACGTATATCTGGTGTTCTGGTGTTCTTGTCTCGCTTTTATTCTTTCCGTTTTATTGTCTTGTTGTGTTGCCAAAATTACCTTGTGGTAAATTTCCTGGGGCTAGCTCTAACAAACTGGTATCAAAGCCTGGTTCTGGGATCTTTTGGCAACGATGACAATAACAAAGATTGTTGTCGAGAAATTCGATAGAAATATCAACTTCGGCTTGTGGCAACTCAAGATGGAGGCCATTCTGGTTCAAGACGGAGTTGATTTGGTACTATAGGGAGCCGAGAGCATTCCATATGATATGTCAAAAGAAGAGCTTGCGGGTATGGATAAGAAGGCCCGATCAAGCATCATTCTAAATCTCTCTGACGAGGTTTTACGGGAGGTAGCTACGGAGACTACGGCTAAGAGCATGTGGGACAAGCTTAAAGCCTTGTACATGAAGAGGACAGTGGAGAATCGTCTCTACTTGAAGCAGAGTCTATATATGCTTCGGATGATTGAAGGTACATCTATACTCTCACATCTTGATAAGTTTGATTCTTTGGTTATGGATTTGGAGAATATAGATACAAAAATTGATGATGAGGATAAGGCTTTGTTACTCTTATGTTCTCTTCCCCAATCTTTTAAGCATTTCCGTGATACTTTGATTTATGGAAAAGAAACAGTTTTGTATCAAGAAATTAAATCTGCATTGAAATCTAAGGAGCAGATAGACATGAATATCACTGGGGAAAATAGAGAGAATCAGGCTGAGGGTCTGGTTGTTAGGGGGAGAATGGATAAAAGAGAATTTGACAGTAGTAGATCTAAATCTAGATCTAAATCCAGACATAGAAATTTGGAATACAGATATTGTCATAAAATAGGGCACATTAAATCTTATTGCTTTAAATTGAAAAATAAATTAAAGAAAAGGGAAAATTTTGTTGAAAAAACTATTGAATCCGCTGAAGTTAGTGTAGCAACTGATGAGAATGTTGGAAATATTTTTTCTGCTATTGATGACAGGACGAGGTCTAAAAATGAATGGATTTTAGATTCAGGTTATTCTTATCACATGTGTCCCAATAGGGATTTGTTTTCCACATATGAATCTTGTAATGATGGAATTGTTTTGATGGGTAATAATGCCGCATGTGATGTTGTTGGTAGAGGCACAATCTGAATTAAAATGCATGATGGTATTGTGAGGACGCTCACTAATGTTAGACATGTTCCTGATTTGAAAAAGAATCTCATCTCTTTAGGCACCCTAGAGGCCCTTGGGTGTAAATACACAGTTGAAGGTGGAGTTATGAAAGTTTCTAGAAGTGCTCTTATTGTTATGAAAGCTTGTAGGTCTGGTAGCTTGTATATTCTGCAGGGAACTACTGTCACAGGTTCAGTTGCAGTCTCGTCATCATCAGTGTCTGATTCTGACATCACCAAATTATGGCATATGCGTTTGGGTCATATGAGCGAAAAAGGTTTGAGCATATTGAGCAAAAAGGGTCTACTTTGCGGACAGAGTACTGGGTCACTTGATTTTTGTGAACACTGCATTTTTGGAAAGCAGAAAAGAGTCAGCTTCAATTCTCCGGCAGTTCACAAAACGAAAGGTACTCTTGACTATATTCATTCAGACCTTTGGGGTCTAGCTCAAGTTCAATCTAAGGGTGGTGCCAGGTATATGTTGACTTTCATTGACGATTATTCCAGGAAAGTTTGAGTTTATTTTCTGAAGCATAAAAATGATGTTTTTCTAACCTTTAAACAATGGAAGGCTTTGATTGAGAAGCAAACAGGTAAACAGATTAAGCGGCTTCGAACAGATAATGACATGAAATTTTGTGAAGGTGATTTTGAAGAATTCTGTAAAAATGAAGGAATCGTTCGGCATCGCACTGTTAGGATGACGCCTCAGCAAAATGGTGTGGCCGAACGTATGAACAGAACACTCTTGGAGAGAGCGAGGTGTATGATCTCAAATGCAGGGTTGACAAAGGACTTTTGGGCAGAGGCGATTAATATGGCTTGTTACATTGTCAACCACGCTCCTTCTACAGCACTTAACTTTAAAACTCCGGAGGAAGTTTGGTCAGGTACTCCTGCTGATTACTCTGATTTAAAAATTTTTGGGTGTCCAGCATACAAGCATGTAAATGAAGGAAAATTAGAGCCTCGGGCTAAAAAGTGCATTTTCCTTAGGTATGCTTCTGGGGTGAAAGGATACAGATTATGGTGTTCTGATCCCAAATCCCCAAAATTTATAATCAGTAGAGATGTTACTTTTGATGAATTGTTTATGTTATCTTCCAAAGAGGATTCTACTAGTTGTACAAATGATAGTGCGCAGAAGCAGGTGGAGCTTGAGATTGGTAGTTCAGATTCTTTTAAGTCGAACTCTTCTACTCAAATAATGGCAGTAGATGGTCCCGAGTCTACTGACGCAGATGATCTAGAGGAAGAGTAATATTCCATAGCCAAGGATAGACCACGGAGATATATTCGACCACCACAAAGATATGCAAATTTGGTTGCATATGCTTTGTCTGTTGCAGAAGAGACAAGTGAAGTTGGTGAGCCTACTTCCTACTCATATGCAGTTTCTTGTGATAATTCCGCTAAGTGGTTGATTGCGATGAATGAAGAAATTGAGTCTCTCCATCGGAATTGAACTTGGGATCTTGTGAAGCCACCTTCGGGTAAGAAAATTGTTGGATACAAATGGGATACCATTGCTGAAAGAAAGGTCCTTGTTCAGAAAATTCATGCGAAGGACAATCGAGCTTATATGCTTATGAAGCCTCTTCCGGTTTACAAGTTCAAGTAGTGCTTGGACTTGGTTGGTGTTCATTGTTGGTGATTGCCCGTTGGGGCTTTTATGAAGAAGGTGGAGCAAGTTTTGTTGGAACATGCCAAGGTGGAGATTTGTTAGTTTGACAAGTCCCATAGTCCCACATCGGGAAAATCAGACTTTTGTCTCGTCTTGGAACTATAAATAAGGGCCTGGGCTTTGAAGTCAGATGCATCACAAGAGGTACCATAAGTGCCACCACAAGAAAAACCTAAGTGTTTGCTTTGATTTAAGTCCATACTCAATTAAATAGTTTGGACTTATAGTTTGGTTTTTCTTGTTTAGTATTTTCGGGTGTTTTATGGCCTAGGAATATCTTCCTAAGACATTTGTAATTGTCCCTCTTTTGCAGTAGTAATTTGCTCCTTTTTCGTCTGTGGATGTAAGTCAAAGTCAATTGATCGAACCACGTATATCTGGTGTTCTGGTGTTCTTGTCTCGCTTTTATTCTTTCTGTTTTATTGTCTTGTTGTGTTGTCAAAATTACCTTATGGTAAATTTC